CAGAGAATAAAAGGAAGGAGAAATGAGCTGACCAAATATCATATGGAGTATTATTCGTCTTCTTAGTCTTCGACGCAAGAAAAGGAGTTTGCACATCCCATTCTTGTACTGTCTTGTGCGCAAATATTTCTTGGTTACATACGTGAACGATTTCTATTCTTAGTTCATATATATATATATATTCTTTTCAGGTTTATGAGAACTTTCTTCTAAATTTATGTGTAACAAAACAAAAGTTGTAGACAAGAAAAAAGGAGAGGGAAATTTTTCGAGAAAACTTGAACTTCAAAAAAAAATATAAAAAAATATAAATGAAGTTTTTTAAAAAAATATAACTTCTGCAGCTGAAAGCTTGACCCACAAATCTCTCTCCTGGTATCCACAAATCAAACTGCCCTGGAAACCCCTATAGCCGAAAGCTCAACCCACTAACCTATGGGTCGTACCACAGACTTCTGATGAAATCATCCTCCTAAGCTTTAATTTTCATTTCCTAGAGGGAAACAAGATTGACCTTCCATTCTTTTAGGTAGTTTCTGAGCTGGTCTACTGCTTCTGTTGTTAAGATCCCTCAAATTAAAATAGATAACTCTATTATCATTTATCATCACAAGAGAAAGTGCTTTTTCATCCTCCTTTCCTGCCAAAATTTCCCCTCTCCCTTTCCTATTATAATTAACCGAACATTCCAGCCTCTTCGGCTCCCTATCTTTACATTCGTTCCTTTACTTTTATGACTCCCTGTTAATCTCAAAGATTTCTCCATATATTTGCACTTAGTTTCTGTAGCCAAAGAAAAGATGTGGCTCGAGTCTCAAAACCATATGAACTTCCACAATATTGTTCTTGACCTAATTGGAGACATCGCTCCTACCTGATGTGAGAAGACTGATAAAGCATTGGCAGTCTCCTCTATCAACACTAAAGACTTGCATGAGAACAGGAGAACCTAAGAGGCTAGTAAAGGAAACAGACGGGTAGGCTGTGGAAAAGAAACCTTATATTAAGGGAGTGGGGAAGACGGAAACTCTTCCTTTTCCTTCCAGTTGTCGACCTCGTCTGCAGCACTGAGGCATATGACTCGCATGAACTCTGTGTTTCTCCGAGGAGCATTGAAGGAACATATCTTGAAGGCTAAAAATGTTGGTTGCACATAGAGCAATGAAACTTTGCCCTGTCAGTCTCCAAATTCTAGGCTTCCAAAGCTGGAGAAAGTTTTGTTGGTCATCTCTCCGCCTTTGGCTAGCGAGATTTTGCAAATGTTGCCCTTCTCCCTTCCCCCATACTCAAATTGCACGCCTTGCTAATGGCTAAAAAAACCCTCCACCAACCATTGACTACAATACTCTCAAGAATGAACATCCTTCTCATGATGTTGAGTCGTATGGTCATCTACTTTTGCACTGTGATATGGCTTGGAAATTATTCTTTGAAACCTTGAGCACCTAGTACCTGTTTCTTTGTGGATTTGGAAGGAAAAGGAGGATAGATTGTTGTGGAGGTGGTGTTGTTCTTGTTATGGACGCATTTGTAGGACATAAATATGGAAGATGCGACAAGAGGCAAGGCAACGGCTAATATGAGGTTGAATTTCAATTAAACAGAGAATTTTAATTAGTACTGGATTCCTAAATAATAAGATTGAAGTTCAATTAAATATAAAATGTTAATTAGTATTAAATTTCTAAGTAGTGTATGATTTCTCATTAGTATTGAATTCCTAATAATAACTATAGAATCATAATTAGTTTTACATTCCTAAATAATATATAATTTTTCGTTAGTATTGGATTTCTAAATACTATAAAATTTTTAAATTTTTGTAAAGTATTCCTAATCAGATTTACACTCCTAATTAAACTAAGATTTTTAAATAAGAATTATAATCTCTATTTAAATGGGTAAACTTGTTATTAATAAAAATAAGTCATAATTTATCTCAAACTACGAGATTGGAGCTTTCTCTAACGAGGTTCAAGGTAGTAACTTCTTTTAATGAGTTGTAATCTATTTTCATAATATAAATTGCTCTCGTAATAAGAATAAAGGTATTAACTCCTTGCTAAAAGGTCACTTTGTTGTTAATCGTCCGGTGACTCGATCATTAAACAGAGAACATAATAATTTGGTATCATAGACAGACAACATGGACGAGTAAGGATTGCACGAGGAACTGAGAAATTTGATAACTAAATTAAAGGCCCAGATGGATCGTAAGTTGTAACAATTGTCTCAGCAACTAAAGACTCTTCTTCAAATAGCAACCCAGTCACGCGGCTAGGATTTAGAGGATGGAATAGAAGGCGACAATAGCCCGACAGTCCCATTCGGTCACGTTGACAACTGGGTGGAATCGTGCACTATAAACAGAGCTATGAAACAAAGAAATTATTCCACACTACACCAAGTTGAACTTCCCCATCTACGATGGGACAAAAATCCTTTGATATGACGCCATCAATGCAAACAATTTTTTACTAATCAGTGGACCACTGGCTCCGACAAGGTTAGTCTAGTAGTTTTTTCACATGTTATGAGAAACTCAACTTTGGTACTTTAAGTTACAGCATGAAGAGTCAGACATAACATGGGAGACGTTTGTGGAGTATTGCACCCTACAATTTAGACCGTCCCTACAAAGCAACCCATTGAGTGAATTAGTCAATCTTAAGCAAATGGTCTTGTGATCAACAAGTTGATTTGTTCACAATAAGACTGATCAATTTTCTCTGTTTAGAAGTCAAGATGCAGTCACCTACCACTCTTGTGCACGCAATTAGTGTGGTTAGAGCTTTTAAAAGATAAGAGTAGTTGTGAGTTATGACCAAACATAATTATAGTAATCTTTCTCAATCTGTGACCAAATCCACAATTCAGTTCAGAAAAAACCGACTCCATAGAGTAACAATGTTACGACACAATTTGGTAACACTTCATTTCTATTTATAAAAAAACTAACAAAAGTAGAGATAACAGAAATGAGACTGAAGAGGTTGTGTTATAATTGCGATGAGCCGTTTGTTCTGAGTCATTAATGTAAACGATTGTTTTGGCTCGAAATTATATTAAATGCTGGTTTTGAGCAACAAGAAAAGACCGACGAGTCTGTTATATCCACATTTTAATTAGTATTGTATTTATAATATATGATTTCCCATTAGTATTGGATTTCTAGATAGTAAAAAATTTCAATATTTTAATAAAATATTTCTAATTAAACTTAAACTCCTAATTAGATTAAGATTTATAAATAACAATTATAATCTTTATTTAAAGGGGTATGCTTATTATTAATAAAAATAAGTTAAAATTTATCTCAAATTATGAGATTGGAACTCTCTCGAATGAAAGCCCAAGGTTGCTGTTATCTTTGATGAGGTGTAATCTATTTCCACAAAATAAGTTACTCACGTTATAAGAATAAGGGTAGTGACCTCTTTCTGGAAGACAACTTTGTTGCTAATCGCCCAGTGACTCAATCCTTAAACAGGGAACATAACTATGCTGGATTGTTGGTGTTGTGGTTATATAGAATGCAAAAATTTTTAGGTACCATTTCCTCCTTGAATTTGCTTCTTTGGGAGAGTATGACCTATGACTCTTTTGGCTTATCTTTTACCCAAGGCACATGGACTATAAGAATATTTTTTTTGTCGATTTTATGTAGAGATTAGCTGGGTGTTGTTTATTGATTTTATTAGTTCTTATGGCTATTTTATTCTTTCTATTTCTATTTCTTTCTACTTTCTATTTTTCCTACCGCTTTTTAATAATATTTCTGTTTCCTTCTTTGTATGTGCACTCGGACATGGAACTTTCTTTATATGATGTTAAATTCCTGTATTAATGTCAGAAAAAATATTTAATTATCACTACTGCTATCTTACTCTCCTGATATATTTAACTGCTGACGAAAATGATGGTTTCTTGCTGATTAGGATGGAGAGAGGCAGAGAAACACTTTTGGTATGGATATCCTATTTATCCATAGGTCACACCCATTAGCTGGAAAAATTAATTCAATATGCCAGCAGATAAGCAGTCAGCCTGAGTTGCAGAAGGGTGAAATCGAGCTGGAAATTGATCCAAAATTAAGGTGCGTGGTTATTCTCCAGTTATATACAAGCATTAGATCTGGGGCGTGCATGTGGGTCCTGCAGGCCTTAGTTCCTCTGGCAGTCCCAATCATATCCTGACTGTTTTAAACAAAAGCCAAAGAGTGCACAACTTGGCAACCATTGAAAGAACTGCAGTGAGTCAGTCACGTACCAGTTTGGTATAAAATAAGTTCTATTAGTATTAATTTTTTGACTATGCAACACCACTTATTACTATCAATCCTTTATTTGCCGGTACTTGGCATATTACTATCAATTCTTAATTTTTTGAGTATGCCATGAGTTAGTCCAACAATCCATGAAAAAACTCCTAACTTAGGGTGAGGTTTCACCTTCCTAAAATTGTAGAGAAACTCCAAAAAAAATTTATATGTGTAAACACCTGAGAACTCAAGGCGCAAAGTGCGAAAATTAGGAGTACGGGCAGGATAAAAGTTTTCAAGATCGATATTCAAAGACATCATATCTGTCATTTGCCTATCATTCTGAGAACCAAAGAAAAAATAAAAAATAAAAGAAAAATAAAATAAATTCATATATTATGTGGAGCTCTATTTTTTTAATATTATATAAAATAAATTAAATTTATTTTATTTTCATTTATTGTTATAATAGAACTAATTCTTGTATATAGTTTTTCGATAATTAAAAGGAAAAATTACAGTTTCATCCCCCATAAAACGTTTCAAGAATGTTATCCAAAAATATCATATCTACTGTTTTCCTACCATTCAAATAACCGAAGAAAAAATAAAATAGGGCTCTATTTTTAAATATATTATATATTATAAGTTAAATTTATTTTATTTTCATTTATTGTTATAATAGAAACTGATTGTCATCTATATAGACTTTCAATAATTAAAAGGAAAAATTACAGTTTCATCCCCAAAATTTGACTCTATTGCGAGCAAAAACCATGTGGTTTACTTTGTGACAATTCAAATCCCATATTCTGATCTTTTATCATTTTATATAAAATAGTTAGCTTTTTAGAGGATATCGATACGTCGCCAACCTTTTAAATAAAAACATGTGGAAGTTCAAGGCTAAACAAATCAGAATTAGATAAAAGATTGCAAAAATTATATGTTTAAGCTTCTAAATAAGAACATGTGGAAGTTGAAAGTTAAACAAATCAAAATTAGAGAGAAAAACCTTAGATCACTTATAAGATAGTAACTTAAAAACTAATGATTTTATCCAAAATGATCTCAAATAAAAACAAAACAAACCGCAATAGCTGAATTTTCACAAAATAAACTACAATGGTCTTGATTGCATCGAGGCCAAACTGCATGGTGATGAAACTGTACTGTCATAACTAATATGTCATAAGAATTTGATTTGCTTTTTACCTATTTACTATTTTTATTTAAATTTATACTGAAATAAGCATTCCCTTCTTCTGCAATTATTTAAAGTTAACGAGAACATATATATATATATTGATTGATGCACGCGCATAATTTCAATAAACAAATATGAATACAACAACTTAAATACAGGAAAACTAGAAACTGTGAAGGATCTTTAACTTCAAAAAAAATGAAAAATTACAAAATCATGAAAGAATTCTCACTTTCTCATCTATCATAATCATATTTGTACTTAATAATTCTCTCTTTTTTATAATCATGCATAATGATCATATTCAAGATATATATGATACTTCAAAGATGATTAATTGATAATATATGTTATACATATCACATATTTAATTACACAAGGACAACAAATAAAGTTGGGGAGAAGTATACCGAAGAAATATGGATAGAGTATATAGTAACTCGCACAAGGAATGATGTTGATGAAATGATGTTGAGAGCATTGGTTCCATTTCTTTCTTTTATTCTTACAAAAATTTCTTAAGGTTGCAAAAAATCTTTAATTGTTTTTATTGAATTGAAGGTTTTCAAAATAACAATTACGTAGAGAATTAGAGACATTTCTGAAAATATGATGTTGATTGGTGAGGGAGACGACTTCTGTAACCATTTATGAGAAACTAATTCATACATTTATATTTTTTTTGTTATTCTAAAATGCCAGTTGCCTGCTTTTTTATAGGTATTCTTTTTCTTTATAGAGGTTCAAATTCTAGCCTATTGTTTCTTTTTCGTTTTTGTTAGGCCTTGTTTAGTTGTAGAAAATTGTTTGAGTTTTTGTTTTCTATCTTTATATATGTTTATACATAAGAATGTTTGTAGCGTTTGAAAATGAAAAGGATTTAGAAAATAATTGGAAAGATATTGTATGGATTTGAAAAGAACAAAAAAAAGTAGAAACTCATGTCGTTTTCTCTCCATTTTCAAAACCTTGATTCATTTCCAAGAACTACTTATATTTTGTGTTTTGAAGACATGCATTTAGGAAGTGAAGATTCGAAACAGTTTTTTAGAACTATGTAACACTTTAATTTCTCATGTTCCAAAGAGTATTGGCATTTATTTTTTAGAACATTCCTTTTAATATGGATTACGCTAGAAGTTCTATACTTGGTACTATGTTGCCTCTCATCTAAAATGGATGGCCTTCTGATTGAATCTTGTGAGTTTGGCTATTTTACTGAGTTCTGTAAGATTTTAATCAAACATCCAACTGGTGAACATGAGGCTTAGGATGTAATATTTCTCAACTTTGCACTTTGTTATGCACTCTCATGCATCTAACAATATATTTGGAGGTTGAAGTTTCTCTGTATGGCTGTAATACAGTCTTTTGTTAGTAAACTGCATTCTCTTGGAAGCCAAAACTTTAATTTTACAATTTTTAGTTTAACAAAAATCATTGAATATGCATAAACTTCAAAATATTTTGTTATTACTCCTTTTCTCTGAGTGAAAGTGATAGCTTCCAAGTACGATAGTTTGAATCTAAATTGAGGATATTTAAGAGATTTTTCTTGGGAATTTCTCCGAGGACGGTTCTCAACCTTTCTCAACTCAAATGTTACCATGAGTTCATCTAGACAGAATATAGTTTCACTGACGGCACAAAATTTAGAGATCTAACATGCTTTTTATCAGTTAAAAATTTTCCATTTGGTTAGTTGGCACCTAATGAAAACCATCTATCGATCAAGTTGTCGTAATACCTTTTATGCAATGATCCTGCTTACTGTAAACATGTTTTTGTGAATTATGCAGTGATGGCATGAATGGGTCCGTCCGCATCTCTGATAAAATTTTATGGCCTGTGGAAATTATTTCACCAATCAAGAATATGAAGACAATTTCAAAAAATGAAGTGATGTAAGCTTCTTACATGGTGAATACTGCTTTCTTGAGGAGGTACCTTTCTATAATTTTGTGGGAGTCTTTTTGTGTATTTTTCAATTGCAGATCAGTTTGCTACAAATACCCTGTTTCTCATTCTCACATTCCAAGACCACCAGAAGGCGTAGTCGTCCCTGAGACGGTAAGCATTTGTTTGGTATGAAATTTGTTTTATTTGGTTTGATTTGAAGAATATTCAAACCAAACTGAAAATTTCAGTTTATAAGTTTTAGAAGCCAAACTGAATCTAAATAGTGTAAAACAAACCGAAACAAATTACTGTGATTTGGTTGGTTTGGTTCAGTTTGGGTTTGGCCCTTAATTTTCTTGAATTTCCTGAATATATTATAGGACCATTTACACCTCATTTGCTACACAATACTTTTTAATTTTCATTTTCTGAATTGATATATATTTATTCAATTCTTATTCATGAAAATATGTGGACGGTGTGTTTTTCGAGCTATTAAGTACCAAAAAAAACATTAAAGCATTTAGAATTTTGAAGTCAACCCTCATTTTCATTATCATTTTATTTCTTCCTTGATTACTACATGTTTTTATGTGCATTATATATGTAAGTTTTAAAAATAAAACTAAAAGATATTTTTGTATGTTATTTTTTCATTAAATAAATCAGTTTTATTAAATACAAAAAGATATTATAATTACTTATCAAATTTTACAGGTTTTCTTTTTTGTGTTAAAAAATGTTAGTTTGTACATAAGTTGTAACCAAACCAAAACCGAACTATTTTTCTATTCAACCAAACTCAACTGGACCAAATTAGGGGTTCTATTCTTCATTTATTTATTTTTGGTTTGGTTAGCCCCTATTTCCCTAAGCATTTGATATCTTGCTCCCAACTCACTGGAGAAAGCTACAAACTCTTTTTTCTTTATTGATTGCAATTGGTGATGGGTTTATGGGAATTGGATTAAATGGGGATGAGTTGAAGTTAAGAATTTACGGGAGCTTATCTGTCGTTATCGTTAAAAAGAGCAAAAACAATATATGTGCTTGCTTTGAGACAATGCTTTATTCTGTCAGTCTATCACAAAGGAGGACCATTCACATCTGAATGTCTTATACTCTGAAAAGAATCCTTGCATCTCTCAACTACCTCGACCTGATAGGTGAGAATTTTCATTTTTTATTTGAGATCTGAAGATCGTTTTCTGTTATTATTTTTAACTTTTCTACTCATTCTTCTTTGGGCTTGCTAACTTTGATTTGTCATCCTCCTTGTAGCGCACCTTTCCCCTCCCCATATCACATAGCAGAAGTGAATCAAAGTCAAGCTAATGGTAACCATTCAGCAGTAGTTGGATTGGGAGAAAGGAAAACAGAAAAAAAATCCAGGAAAAGGAAACGGCATCGTAGGATGGGGAAGAACCTCGGTTCTAACAGTGAACTGGATAACAATTTTGAAATGTTGAAGAGTTCTTTTCCTGGTGAACAGAATAATGGGAATGCATACAATGCAGATTTAGATGGATTGAAGGATGTGACAACTGAAGTGGTATTTGGGGAAAAGGACCTTCGCTCTGAGATCATGAAGTTGTGTGAAGGTAATAAAATCCAGAGTGTTAATGTTGAGACATCTGTAAACCCGAGTGAAAATGATGTAAAGCATCAGAATATCCTCATCATTAGTGAACAAAGTAAAGCTGATGATCTTTTTGGAGGTTCAAATGGAGCTTTGGAAGTAAAGACTGAAGTTAAATCCCACAAGAAAGAGGAGATCTAAGAAAAGGAAATCTGGTGGAAGTGATGGGATTTCAAGTAGCAATATTGGAAAACTTGAGGGACTCAACAACAATGTTGAAAAGTTGGAGAGTTGTCTTTCTAGAGAAAGGAATGACAGAGCATGTTCTGATGGATTCCGGGACATAACGGCAGAAGTGTTATATGGGGAAAAGAACTATCAATCTAATATCGTGTCGGTGAATGAAAATAACAAAATCCAAGATACTGATGTTGAGAAATTGGTGAAACAGAATGGTGTAAAGCATCAGAGTGTCCTTGTTGTTGGCTATCAAAGTAAGGCTGATGGTTCCTTTGGAGGTTCAGATGGAACCGTGGAAATAAAGACCGAAGTTGAATCTGGAAAAAAGAAAAGGAGACCTAGGAAAAAGAAAACTAGGAAAGGTGATGCTGCTTCAAATAGTAGCATCGGGAGACTGGAAGACCATAATGAAAATTGTTTTAAGCATCCGAGTATCCCTGACATCAGTGTTACTGCTGATTTGTTTACCTGTATTGTAAGTGAAAAATATCAAGCTGATGGTTTTGCTGGAGGTTCTGATGGTGCTGTCGGAGTAACGACTGAAACTGAAACTGGAAAACAGAGTGAAAATGGTGTGAAGCAGGATGTAACCACAGGAGTGGTATCTTGGGAAGAGAACCTTCAACCTAAGGAGATAAAACTTAAGGAAGATAATGAAATCCAAGGCATAAGAGTTCAGAAATTGGTGAAACACACTGGAAATGGTCTAAAGTGTCAGAATGTCCTTGTCAGTGAACAAACCACAGCTAATGGTTTCTGTGGAAGATCAGATGGAGGTCTGGAAATAAAGAGCGAAGTTGAATCTGGAAAAGCAAGGAGATATATGGAAAAAAAATCTCGCGATATTGATGCTTTTTCAAATAGTAGCTCTGAAGCATTGGAGAAACAGAATAAAAATGAAGTAGAACAGCAGGGAGTTCCTGATAGATGTGCTAGTGTTGATGAGTTGATGACTTGTATTATCATCAGTGAACAAAGTAAAGTTGTTGATTCCTGTGGAGATGCTGATGGAGCTCTTGAAATAGAAAGAGATAGAAAGAGATCCAAGGAAGACAAATCAGTTGAAGGTGATGGTGATGGTATCTCAAATAGCAGCAATGGAAAATCAGAAGAACAAAGTGAAAGTATAAAGCATCAGAGTGCCCCGGGTGTCACTGTTGGTAAATTGATGACTTATGTTATCCATGAACGAAGTAAAGCTGATGTTATCTGTGTTGGTCCTGATGGAGCCATGGGAATGAAGACAGAAGTAAAATCAAGAAAAAAGAGAAGCAGATCTAAGAAAAAGAAATCTTGTGAGACAGAGGGTGATGGTATCTCAAATAGCAGCCTTGATAATTTGGTGAAACAAAATGAATGGATGAGAAGTATCAGAGTGCTCCTAGTGTAA